GAATGAAAACATGTTCATTTTGTAACATTGCTGTAATTTTATAACACATTGTTAAAGCTGTTATCGTTTTTATTTATTTCTAGAATATATTTGTTCCATGATGTGTTGCTGCGACAGAAAAATACTGCACTGCAATATGTGAAAGATAACGTTTCAAATACCTGTACAATACTAAAATACCATCACTTACATGCAGTAATAAGAAAAAAAAATCACAAAGAATGTCTAGGCAGATAACAATATCATACATCCCATTATAATATGAGGAACGGCTTGTTAAAATGAGTACGGCACAGCCCTAATGCATACACTGGTGCATTTAAAACGACCAAAAAGTCAAACAAAAGGTCAAAAACAAGCTGCTCAGTATGAAAACAGTTTGTTAGTCTTACATCTCGTCTCTTCCATTAGATTAGCTCTGAAAGTCATTTTATGAACCCCATCACACTCGTAACAACAAAGCAGCAACCTAAATTGTTGTTAGATCCACGCAGCACCCCTGGGCTTTCAGATAACACGGACTATACTCATTGAGCAAGGGATAAATAAACAGAATAACCTCTAAATATAAAGTAATGTTATAACATGGAAAACAAAAGCTGTTTAGCTTTATGACAGGAAGATGCCCAGTCTGCATCATTTTTTTCCAGTGAGGTGTGGACACTGCTGCAGTTACCAACTCTTGACAGAGTTGCGTGTGTGCAGTGAAGATCAGGACCAGTTTGTGCAGAAGCATTGGAGTTTGGCAGCGAGCACTGCTGCTTGGCAATGGCAGGTGTGTGTGTGTGTGTGTGTGTGTGTGTGTGGGTGCATAGGCAGGCTTGTTTATGTCATGTCACTTTCTCCTCATCTGTCAATGTAGTGGATTATTTCTTGAGAGACCAGAATTGGCTGCCCGGAATCAGGACACCATCAATCTTCGGCCGCACAAGCAGGACGTGGGGGAGACTCTGTGAAGCAGAGGCTCATGGGAAAGAGAGGGAGAGCAGGGCCGCTTTCTGAGCAGTCATGCAACATGTTACTCAATCTCGGCAGTGACCGAGACAATTCCTTCCAAAAAAAAATGTAAAAAATAAGTCTTTATTCATTGTTGCTGTAGGAGGCAGACTTCTTGAACTCTGCTACATGCTCCAAAAAGGAGAACAGTCTTTACTTATTTTTTTGTATAGATCCCCCCCTCTGTGTTTATTTTTGTAGATGTTGGAGAGGTGTTAGTTTTCTGACCACTTTGTCTCTCAGACGGTCCTCCTGGCTACATTCTGAGCTCTACAAAAGCTTGTTTTCAGGGAAGACGTCCAAGACATAAAGTCCCTTAGAAAGATGCCACACGACTGCCCAGAAAACAATACAGCAGCTTAGCAGAGAACATAAAAGCAGGCTCACCTAACATTTTACCGTCAGTTTTCTAGTTTTGTGAATTGGCAACATTTCTATATGAATCTTGCTTCAGAAGCACCTACAATTTGGCAGAAACAACACAGAGCCTGAAACAAAACTTGAGAATTAAGACTACAAAGCATTAAACAATGTAGATATTTCAATATATGTATATATATATATATATATATATATGTATATATATATATATATATATATATATATATATATATATATATATATATATATATATATATATATATATATATATATATATATATATATATATATATATTGCTATGTCCTAGATACACATGGCTATTTATAGCCAAGGCCTCTGGACTAAATGAAACCAGAGAGCTTCTCATGTTAGAAAATCAATTCTAATTCAAATATTTATCATAGCATTTCAGTTCTGAGGGAGAAGTTCTGGTTAGATCAGTAAGGGCTGTGCTACGGCTGAGTAAGATTGATGCCAGCTTAATCCTCTTCAGAAAAAAACATGATATATAGTAAATCACACATTTGCAAAGCAGCAGAGGCAGCGGGCAGTTGTGATAGACCATTGCTCCACGAACATGCCACGATTAGGTTTATAAAGTATCATAACTTCAGATTATAATTGTCTGAGCCAGTTATGGCTGTCCTCCATCACAGTTAGGTCCAACTTAGCTGAGGAAAATGAACTTGTTTAATGTCTGTAGCAAATATGTTTTACATTTGAATAAATGTTATTCAAAGTTCAGATGCTCAGTCCAAACCCAACCAATAAAGTAAAAGATGTTTAAAGACCAAGTTCACTGAGAAACAGTTGTTATTTTTAATTGGTTGTCTTTTTTTGGTTTGTTTTTAATATAAAAACTATCAGTCATTCACCCATCTTGTCTCAGGACCAGAGTTGTTTATTTAGCAGTAAGACGAGAGCAGAAAACATCTCGGCTAGTACAAGCTAACTGTTAGCATTAGCACCTTCACAACAGAACTCCTTCAGACTTGTGTCATTTGTGGAGCTAAAACAGCAACGTTGTAAAGCAAACAGAGTCAGTGGTAGAGCCGCCTTACTGTCAGCCAGTCGGATGCAAGATATAAATATCAGGACATAAGACTCAGAATACTGCCATCTTCTACTCACCTCTCCTTTTCTACTTCTACTTCCTGAAATAGGAGTGCCAGAGCTTCTTTCTCCATGGAGATCGACTCACAAGCCAATAATTTAATTTAATTTAATTTAATCAAATTTAATTACTTATATTTTAGTAGGAAGAGCCACTTGAGATGGAACATTTCATTTTCAGGCAGGTCCATCTACAATACAACACATTAAGAACAAGATAACAGAGTCTATAGGCAGCGTACGACCAAACAGTAAAGAAAAACATGAACAAATAGCAGAAAGAAAATAAAGGAATACAAAAATAATAATTCCTGCTGTGGCTCATCTCAGAAACAGGCTTGCATGTCTTTAAAAGTCCACATACATTATCAATATGTGCATACTTATATTTATACACACACGTGTGAAACAAGTACATATTGAGAGGCACTATATAAAAAATTGTTTTCTTTCTCCCTTTCTTAAAGAATATTATTCTGCTGAAGCAAAGCAGTTGCAGCTTGGCAGCAAAACTCATAGACAGAGTTTTTAAATAAACAAAATGCCAAGATTGACCATAAATGTGCACCTCAAGTTACCTGCACATTGTGCGGGTAACTTGTTCCAGTCTTGCAATGCTTTAACGCAAAAGACACATCTCCCCACCTAATTGTTAAACGGGGGAATAACAAATGAAAATGGGTCAGTAAAGTGCGTTGAATACCAGGGATTGATAGGAACTAACAGTAATTTCTAATAAAATGGGAAATCAAAATAGATACACTTAAAAATACAACAATGAAAGTGTCTCCTAGCTTTTAAAGAGTCCTTTAAAGGCGCTCATACATACGGCAGAAGGAAAAGACATAGGCTGTTGTGAATTACATTAAGAGAATGAAGATTTGCAACTGAGAAGTTCTGATAAACCATATCAGCATAATCTAAAATTGGAAGCAGAAGCTGAGTTATAATGCGCTTATATGCTAGAGACCACAGAATGTAATGAAAAAGCAAAAAACGTGGTCTTTAAATCGTGCTGTAGTTCAACCAACATAAGTTATATTTTTCTGTTTCTTCCTTGTGCAATAAGCTTACATCTATTAGATCCATGTGTCAGCTCCTGAATCCGCAGAGGACCCATGGAAACACCATGGCATGATGGCCTGAGTAGGGAAGGAGCATGTAAATGTGTGTGAGTGTTCGTGTCTGAGCCCAGCAACACTTGAGTGTGTGAGTTGATCTCTCTGACAGGAAACCTTCCTGAACCCATCACCACCCTTTAGTGGCATGACTTTTTTAGATATACAACTGGAAGAAGTCTGCACGGGGGTGGGGGGTGGGCAACAACTAGTTCTTTCCCCTCTTGTCTTCCCCTCTTCCCCTTTGGGCTCACTGCATTATTCAAAAAGGACACTTACTGAGCCTTGCACTTCTTTGTACATCTTTGGCACCAAGCTTGACTTGCCAACCAGACAAAAAAAATGTATTCACAACTCTCTGTTGCTCAACCCTTACTTCTTGGTCCAATTAACGAAGCTGGAATGCTTTGAGAACTTTCCATCTGTCATAGCTCAGATTTTCATGTGTCAGCTGTTCCAGAACTAAAGTAAGCCAATTCTATGACATGCTGCTTAAAGTCACCGTTGTTCACAAGCATAGAGAATCCCGGGCTGTATTTTTTCTTTCCTTTTTTCTTCTTGCTGTGCTTCAATTACTGTCTTTTTACTTGGCAATGCAACATACACACACAAACACACACACGCACACACACACACACACACACGCGCGCGTGCACACACAAAGGGAATCTGCAGAAGACAGCATCAGTGTTTAACAGCCGCTTGGCATCCAGAGGAAGCCCCACTCTGCGTGAGGGTTCAGCGTGGAAGTAACACTCATTGTTAGAAGCTTAAGGATAGCATTTGCTTTGCTCTAAAAAAAAACATCCCCTCTTCCTTGTAACACTCCCACATGCACCATGCACTATTCTAGTAAGCTTTTTTCATAATCAGAGAATTAGTTCCGCCTCCGTGTCTACCCTCCCCTTTAGCCTTACAGTGCAGAAGGCGTTGAGCTTAATTGTCAAGCGTTTCCAGGGCAAAAAAGGGAAACATAATTGTCATTTCAGTCTAAACCCAGTGATCAAAGCTCCTGTATGGCAGTATGGATTGCTGCCCACGGCTCGTCTTACTTGGATGCCAGCTAGATCCAGGATAGTCAAGAATTCCTTATCATGTGGTTGAGTCATCTCTCCATGATGTTCCAACAGGACATGCATCTTAAGATCTAAACCAAAGTAAGCATCTCAGCTAAGACATCTAAATCAGTTAACCATTTCTTTTATATTAAAACTCAAACATGTAAATTATTTTCACCATTGCAAATCAACGCAGCATTCTGAAACGCTGAGGCAATCCTTTTTTGTTTCAACTCATTTCAAACATCCACAGCTGCCAAGCACCACCCCACTGAGAAGGCAACATTGAAAGCTTTAATGCTGAGCTTCGAGGTGTGAAAGAGGTGTGGCTACCTAGGGTGAGGATGTCAGTGCGACCGGGTCGAGCCACGTGGTGCTGCTGGATGGTTTGGTAAAGGGTGGCCTGGCACAGCAGCAGGAAGCCGAGGCTAATCCACACGGCCAACAACCAGGACATGGTGAGGCTGAGTCTGCAGGACAGAACACAGGAAACACAAATCAGTGTTATTAATGTATCCGTTTACCACAGATACTTAGTGTTACCAAAGAAAATAAAATGCAAATTTCATATGAGACCCAAATATTTACCGAAGGGTCTCAGAGATTGGTATTTTATCACAATTTTGCAACAAAAAGAAAAAGTGAACACATTTCAAGGGAGATTCAGATCAATTGTTACAAACTTCTTTAAATGCAGCAAAAGTAGCATCATTGGATAAAAATATGTTTCTCACTGAGTTATGTGGATAGACCTTCAGTTTGACTAATTAATTCTCCTGCTTTTTTTTTTAGCTAATCTGAGCACAAACATGTTTCACATGAACTCGGTACAGACTACCTAACTGCTGGCGAGGGCTTGCATATGGAAACAGAAACACGCCTTTATCTCCGTTGATTAATGATGCTCTCCTCCCATCCAGGTGTTTTAACACTTCATTCAATGCTAAAGTGGGACGTTTAGTGATAATTATATCTTCTGAAACAAAGTCTGTGCTGAGCTGCATTTCTGACATGTTCAGAGAGAATTTTTAGGCAGGGATCAATTTAAAACATTGAAGACGTCTTTAGATTTAAAAAGAGAACATCATATTCCACCAAAGGAATAAGTCACCTCACAGTGGAGTTGGCGACTTTCTGTTCTGAGGTCTGATGAAACAGTGAATTTAATGTTAATGCTAAATCTTAATGCATAGATTTAAGGGGTCCACAGCCATGAACCCTATAGACCACGTATGAAAGCAGCTCTGATTCAATACGTTTCTTTTTTGAAACTGCTTTAAAATCTTCCATTTTGTCATTCTGAATTAGTTAAATGAAGGCCATTTAGGCCACCAAACATGATCTGCATCCTCAGTGAGAACAAAATTACTTAATAAACAACTAAAACATCATCTCGACCAAAAACCTGTATTTCCCAACTGCTATCTCACTGTGCCAAGACCTAGTATGGACGTCCTACAGACGTGGTCTGGACCGACAGACTCAATATAAACATGATCTGCGCATCCATGCAACGTTGACTGTTTGCAGGGATTAAATCCAGCCAAATGTAGCGTTTTGATGTGATGTGAACTGGTCCCAGAGGCTTTTTTTCTTTTTGTTGTTATGAATTTTTTGCTTTGTTTTTTTTTTACCACACATTATGTCCTCACTTGGCAGGATTTGCACAGACGATTCAAAAGAAGTGCTGCTCTTGCACAGCTAATTGTAGCTATACTCCACAGAGAGTTGCAGATCTTCAGTAATCTGAAGACGCTTTCATGAGAAATAAAAATACAAACAGATTATCTCCAGAGCCGAAAGCCCTTAGATAAAAGAAAGCTTCAGATCCAAACATATGGCTTTTTCCTTTAAAGAAAAAAAAGAACACTTAAAGACCTCTTGCATGGTTGCAGAAAAAAAATAGAGCTCAGTTGGCAGAAACAGACAACGGCTCAGAGTCCGGCGGGGGGAAAGTAAAAGCGTTCGGAGTGGAGGCATCAGGCGCGTAGCCCACCGATGCACCTGCGTGTAACAAATCTCTACCAAAATAAGAGGAGCTTTGGATCTTCTAGACCACACGTCACCTGCTGCAGACACAACTTCAAACGTGGCTTCTGAAAGCCAAGTGGTTCAAACAAAAAAGGGGGAAAAATCAATCAGAATGAGCTTCTTTCCAGGAAAATGTTAACAGGAATATTCCTGTAGAACGTGTCTCAAATCAGATGCATTTCCATTTTCACTGTTGGCGTCAAATCATCTTCAATCACCTCAGACATGTTTCTTATCACTTAAAAGCAACAGAACAACTCTGCTCTTCACCCCAGACGGCGGAAGAATTTCCTGAATGTCCCACATCCCTACCTGAGCTGTGTGTTGAGAAGGAAAGAAGCTCAGTCAGAATCCCCGCCTGCTCGTCTCACTCCTCTCTCTTAATTCCATCCATGCTGGGAAGCCGGGGATTTCTGCTCCAAATTCCAACACCACCAGGTAAGCCAAGAGCTGCACAAGAAAAGAAACACCAGGGTGCTAAAATTTATCCTTGTGTCCCCCTCCTCAGGACCTCTGCTGCTCTTTGGAAATCCTTGCCAACACAAAGAGTCCCAAAAACACCCAAGAGGGGGTGTGTGTGTGTTTGTCACAAACTAGCCAGGACGTGAGGGATGGAGAGGCTGATCATGGCACGGCAGGTCTTCTCTCCTTTTCAGTGTCTCTTCACGGTCAAGTAAAACTCCTGTGTGCAGATGAAAGGGGGATGTCTAGTTCAGCCTCCTCACTTGTCGTCCCCCTCTCTCTCACGCGTGCAGCGGAAGGCTCCAGTGGAATGACTGCTCTGTCTGCTCTTGGCTGCATCCCCCCATTGAGAAGCTGAAAGTGTGAGCCTCAGTCCTCCCTTCAGCGCTGTAAGTAGAGAGTCTGTGTGTCAGGCAGGCAGGCAGGCAGAGCGAGTGTGAGAGAGCATGAATGTGTGTGTGTATTACAATAGAAGCCCAGCTGGAAAGAGAGGGAGAGACAGAGCTGAGAGGGAGTCAGATCACATGTCTTAAAGCAAGACTACCCAGCTCTGCATCGAGACTTCATCAGCAAATGATGCGTGCTTTATTAACACCCCCCCACCACCATCACCACCCACCCACCCCGCAGGCTCTGAAAGCCTTCAGCTGGCTGCCAGTTAGTCATGTTTTAGTCTCCTTTACCTGAGGCATTTCACTTGTGTCTCGTTCAGTCTCATAAATAAGTTTTATCGCTTCTCCAGTGAGGGTTTGCTGTCAGCCCCCACCTGCAGTGTGAGGCAGCTTTCTCTCCCCTTCTCAAGAACTGAATCCGCCGGGCTCTGAAGTGAAGGACATCCACTCAGTCTCTGTGTGTGTGTGTGTGTGTGTGTGTGTGTGTGTGTGTGTGTGTGTGTGTGTGTGTGTGTGTGTGTGTGTGTGCGAGTTGCTGTGTGTGTGTGGCAAGGGGAGGGCAAGCCAGCAGGTGAAGGCGACTCATTTGTGCGAAGCATATTTTTCCTCCAAACATATTTCCCTGTGTATGGAGGAGCTTGCCTTTAAGTCGGTGTGCTGTTAATCAGAGATTTACAGTATGTGTCAGTCCCACGCACCTGCCACAGCTGACTCACTCACTGTCTGACATTTTACAGAAAATGAGCCGTAAGCCACTCATAACAATACACAGGTGACAAGCTAAGTAAACCTGCAGACAGTGAGGAGGGTCGTTCACACACTGAGGGGGAGGATATGCTGATGAACTGCACCGTGAGTTAGTTTAACGTCTGAGAGTGAACTGATGTGTGTATGAAAATGATCATCCTCCCGACTGGCAGACTGCACTCTTAGCTACTCGATGCCACTGAGATGTTTGGTTTTTTTTTCTTTCTTTTTTTTTGGTTAACAAGTCCTTCACCCACTGGCCTCCCGGGCCATCTTAGCTGCTGCCATGGAAAGAGTTGACAGCCAGATGTGAACATAACCCACAGAGCTACAGTCTGCTGGGTGAACAGGATCGCTGAATGTCATAGAAATATAAAGTCTGTGGAGTTTTGTGTGAGTGGACAGGTGTCGTTATTTTCTCTGCTGGATTATTGAAAATGCTCTCAAAAGTTTGGGATTGGTCGGGAATTCCTGTTCTTTCCATGGGAGTCCATGGAAATGTATCATTAATATAACACATTTAATTAAGTTTTAAAACAATCTAACATTTTGTATCACCATCACCTTTGTTTACATAGCGTGTCTTTACATTTTTATGCACAGATGTTTTCCTTGAGTTGGAAAAAGGTAGAATGCCAATGATTTCTTTGAGAAGAGCTTAGAGTCAAGGTTTAGAGCTTAAAAAATATTTAAAAAAAAGAAAGATGCAAGTAAAACACAAGAAACACTGATAAACACAACCAAAATGTTTAAATATTACCACACTCAGCAAAAAGATTCAGTAACAGTACAAAAAAAAATGCACTGCACTTGAACTCAGCATGCATTGGACTGGTAATGGTAACACTGGGTAGATTATGAGTATCAATTAACTATTAATCAATCAAAGAGAGCCGATTTTGGAGAAACATTTCAGGTTCATCTGCCATATTTTTTCCACAAAAAACAAAAAAATTATTCAAGTGATCCCAAATGAACGAGTATGATGAATATAACCCAAAAGAAAATGAAATGAAAGCTTAAATCAGACCTTCTCTTATTAGTGAGAGCCTGGCAGTAACATGCATTTTCTGAAAGTGTCTTTTTGTGTTTTTCTTTGTAGAACAACTCTTGTATTTGCATAGTTTTGTTGTAATCCAGAGGGAAGGCTGTATGGTTAAACCGCCATCTGGATCGCCGCTGGGTAAAGCCCACTGTGTTAGGGGAGAGATTTACATTGAGCAGAAACTTCCGAGTAATTATCTCATTGATTATTGTCTCTGCACGCAAGACCTATTTGCACAAAACAACTTGATTACCAATAAATGGGCTCATTTGAATTGGCGTGAAGTAGTTTATTTTCATGTCGAGCATTAATAAACGAGCACGCTTCAATTTCATTTTGTCTTCAGCGCTTAATGTCTTCACGAAACGTCCCATGGGAATGGGATGAAGGTGTGAAACAAAACAAGCCTCGGAGGAGAATTTCGGATTGTGAACACCAAAATATTACATGTTCATTTACCAAGCCTCCCCCCTCCAATTGAAATCTCCATCTCCTCTTGCTGATTTGTTGCAGACTCCTGTTTTTCATTCCGCGTCGTTCAGTGTCGTGTTGGGGAAATGGACTGGCACAACGGAATTTCACAGTAATTCTGGATTGTTGTCGTGCTCTTCCTTCTCAGGGGTGTCCATCATTTCCAAGCAGCTGTCGCCTTAGCTCATGCCAAGACCTAACCGCAACCGACCAATCGCTGGCCAACGCTGTGTTTGGATCTGAGCAGCCCTGTTAAACAGCAATGTTTGCCAATATCCTCCATCTTTCTTTCTCATGCTGTCATTCTCTGACTTCTCTCTCTATTTCTCCTTCTGGCTAATGAAATTCTTCCCTCCAGTCCAGCCAACAAGCTTCAGTGAGCCGACACCAAAGCTGTACCAAAACTTAACCTCCAAAAGTTCCTTGCTTTTCTTAGCATTTTTAATTAAACAAAAGATTTCTGATTGAGGCCAATCCCCAGATTTGTACTAAGTGTAACGAAGGTGCAAAGAAAGAAAGAAGCAAAAAAAAAAGAAGAAGAGCAAGAAAGAAGCAGAGATTAAGGTAAGCAGGGAACATTCTTTTGGATGAAGTGTACAGCAGCAATTGTAGGAGAAGCTGATTAGTGAAGTGAAATAACTTGATCTGTGGTAAACATTAATTTCATTTTGGCAGCAAGTACATTTTCCCTCACTTGTGCTCATCAGCATCCCTCAGCTTTAAAAATGAAAGGTTATTAGGTTTAAAAACATCCTCACACAAATCCACAGAAAGCACATTTTCTAGTCATAAGGTAAAATAATTTTTTTGTTATTGTTCTTATTACTTTATCATTTTTAATCATAGGAAAATATACTAATGAGCTGAATATTGGTCTTTTTTTCGTAATTACTGGAACCATTTAAGCATTGAACATTTAAATTAAACAAGTCACGATATGTAGTATGTTTAATTTGACTGTTTTAAAGCTTTAAATGCAATTGTGCCTGATAAAGTAAAACTTACTGCTTATTATGACTTGTTTTAGTCCTCCAGACTATACAAACTATATTAGTTTCTCTACTGGTCCGACTTGCCAATAGAACCTTTTTCGTGATTTGATCATGTCCATTATTCTGCTTTCTAAAGCCCTTTCAGTTTTCTCGTCTGCAAACCTTCCTTCTGACAAGGTCAGATTAGTTTTTCTTTGTCTCCAGATTCTTTCCTGTTTCTTACCGTCTGCACTACATGCACGCTACGTCGGTATAAATGCACTTTTCCAAGTGTCCCAGGTGCAGCAGGCAACACTGTTAGGTATTTTACTCCATCAATGTATAAAAGAGGAAAATCAACATGTAAGGAATTAAATAATTCAAAGCATAATTACTGACTTTTTTTTAGAAAATTATAATTATTTTTTTTAATCTCTCAACTTTGGAAAAACTCTTAAAAATTTAAATATCCAAATTAAAGGGATTTTTCAAAAGTAGTAAAAAAAATCCACTTCTGTCTCCTGCATGCACCTTTACCCTGGCCTTCCCTCTGGTCAGAGTGAATCAGAAGTCCTCCTATTTTGTGAGTTAGATAAAGCATTGTCCTTCATAGAAAACCACCCTGAATTGAGGAAACTGATAAATCTTGACTTCAGCCGCAAATATTTTCAAACTTTTATACTCTTGAAGCTTCCCCAACCTAATTTTCTTTCTTCGGTACAGTGATGTACTTGTATAGGATTGTAAAAACAAAAACTTTTAAATAAACTTTAGTTTTCTTTTTAAAATATTCAGTTTTGCATCAAACCAAGGCCGGATTAACCATATGGGCAAGTGGGCAATTGCCCAGGGCCCACAATCTCTAAAGGGCCCAGGGCAGCAAGGGCACGAGCAAAATACTGTAGGCCTATCTGTAATCTCCCGCTTTATATTAAACTAAGGTGAACGTATGTCCGGTTTTCGCCAGACATGTCCACTTTTCACTCTGTCCGGGCGTCCGGACTGGGGGTTCTTGTATTGATGAAAATGTCCGGCTTTTCATCCAGGAGCAGGGATCGAATTATGGGGGAGTTGGATATCCTACACATCCAGGGGAGCCGGAAAAAAGTTTTCTACTGATATTACATCATTTATGGACTCTTCTGAGCAGAGAGCGGCACAGCGCGTTGTTGCGCAGCGCTCCAGGCAACTGCTTCCAGCGCATGGTCCATTCTCAAAGTGGCGCAACCAACAAAACTATAATTAGCACACGTCCGCACATGTTCTCTATTTTCTGTCTTATTTGCGCCTGAAGCGCTCTGCCACTGCGGAGCTCATCACCTGTGCTGAGGTGATTTCACCTCACTGATGCAGCATCGAAAACACACTCTCCGCTTTGCGGTCAGGAGATCCCTTTGATCTGTTCAAAAGTAACTGATGAGGTGAAAAAGTAAGAATCCAGGCAGCAGTTTTTCTGGAGAGTTTAGAGGAGATGCAGGAAGATGAGACAGACAGGACAGGAAATAGTTAAATAAAAACAAGAAAACAAAACTAAGTGTTGAAAAGTAAAATGTAGGTAGATTTATCTCCACTACACATTTTTACCTGTATAAAACAATAAGTTATACACATATCATATTTATACATCTGATACAATTCAGATCACCTTCAAAACTCAGTCACACACCCAGGGCCGTTTCAAGACATTTTGGGGGCCAAGGCAAAATGACCCCACCCCCACCCCCCATAACTGGGCTCCCCAGAAGCCTCTGTGTAATTCATACCCTCTCTAGGAGTATTTGTTATACAGTGTTTATAAAAGCTCCTCAGACATCGCTGACATGTTCTAATATTACCAGATGAAAAACTAAATTATCAGACATGCTGTCTCATCTGCTGCTTTT